CTTAAATGTGAAGGGGAAAACCGGAGCATCTGGAGAAAATTCCAAGCGACCACGGGGAGAGAGAGAGAGAAAAACGCAAAATCTAAATATATAGCAGGCATCGTCAGGGTCGGGATCGAGCCCACGATCGCCTGTATACCAGGCAAGGTGAAATGTGATATCCTCTTCCCTGTGCATTGCAAGGGTTCCATCATGTGCAGTCACTAACTTGGACATAATCAATACAAAATTGACTACAATTGATCTGCTGCAGTCGTATGCATCACACTTAGAGGTCGTCCATAAATGACGTCATGCACCTGGGGGGGGGGGGGGGTCAGACATTTGTGACGATGTGTGATAAGGGGGGGGGGTTGAGAAATGTGACGTCACATCAAAATGCGAAACTTTAAATAAATATAGACAACACGTTCTACTTAATTAAATATACTTTTTAATACATATTTTCTCCTACAACATCAAAGTGCAGCGGCACATTAAATACGCACTACAATGACAATAGTTTAAAGCGATTTGAACAATGTTTTTTGGGGAGGGGGGCAGAGCTTTGTGACGTCATATTTAAGGGGGGGGTTTGACTTTTTGTGACGCCGTGTGACAATGGGGGGGGAGGGGGTCAAAAATCGTCAAAAATCGCGTGACGTCATTTATGGACGGCCCCTTACATGTGTATGTGAACGAGAATGTGTAGAACGACACTCCTGCATTGGCTCGTTATGGGAGCTGTCGGCAGGTGTCACGGGGGTCGTGTCGGGCCGTGACACTCTGCGTGAACCCAACAGGACACGTGACCGGATAAAGGGGGGCCCCAGGGGGGTCATGTGGTTGGGATTCGGGCCTTCCCGAAGAATTGGGAAGGGAGGCGTGGCCTGGGGCGGAGCCGGCCACGCCGGAGTGGTTATAAGCGGAGTGTGGACGGAGAGCTGGGCTGCCCTACCCCACACCCCCCTCTCTATCTCTCCTCCCTGGCTCCTCCCCCCTCTCTTACCTATATAGGCTCTTGTCACAGCAGCCCTCTTGCCCACTTCAGCTATTGTTTCTTGCTGTGGTTGTCTAACCTGATGACGGACGCTTGTGTTGCGCCCGAAACGTCGTGATTTAATATATTTTATTTTATACCTACGTGACTTTACCGAAATAACCAAAGAGTATGGCTGTTCAATGCTGTTCTGCTGGGTCAACTCTGGGATGAAGCCACCATCTACGATCCTCGAACTCCGGTCCAGAAATGTAGTATCCCCGTGTGTTAGCTAAGTTCGGAACGGTGGTTACCACCCTATGTCGTTATCCTGTCAATGTCAAGAGTTACCCGTTGTGTTTAGCTAATAAATAGTGTTGCCTCCAAAGTTCCAGTGTGCACCTGAATTGAACCCTACACTTTGTTTTTTTTCGGTAAAGTCACGTAGGTGAAAAATAAAATAAAAAAATGAAAACTAAATAAATTTAATCACGACGTTTCGGGTGCAACACAAGTGCCCTTCTTCATGTGGAACAACGTAGCACAACCGCTTAAGCTATGTTGTCCCCACCTGAAGAAGGACGCTTGTGTTGCGCCCGAAACGTCGTGATTCAATTTAATTTAGTTCACCTGAGGACTGCTGCTTGCGTTGTGGCCGAAACGTCGTGAGAATTATTTTATTATGTTTCATTTTTATTATTTTATTATTTCCCTTCTACGTGACTTTACCGACATAACCAAGCAGATTAATCCCTACAGTCACGAAAGCTTTAAATCGAAATTTAATTTAGTTGTTTTCATTTATTTTATTTTATTTTTCACCTACGTGACTTTACCGAAAAAAACCAGAGTATGAATCCTTGCAGTCACGAAAGCTTCAAATCTAGAATGAATTGAACCCACTACAAATGTGTAGAGTGGCAGTGCGCTGCCATACGAAACCCAGGCGACCCGAGTTCGATTTCCACTCACTGCCAACACCGGTGGCGATTATCTGAACCGGTCCTGGGAATCTCCTAGGTCGGCTCTGCCACCAAATGAGTACCTGATGCAGTGGTGTGTAATAAACATCGCCACTGGGGAGACAAAGGCGGCCGGGCGGGCGTGGTGCTGGCCATCCACCCCCTCGTGTGCCACGGTGCCGGCCTTCATAGGTGCTCGCTGATAGACTTTGTCCCAACAGTTTGTTCAGACTATACGGGGGGGTCTGTGTCTCTGTGTTTCTTTTATATCTGTGTGTATCCCGCAAGGAAACCACCAGCGGTTTTCAAGTTCGGATTTTAGTGTGGAAAGGTTTGTGATATACGTGACTGGGCAGTAGGAGGCAGTCGCCCTCCAGCAACAACGGAGGGCAATGAATGGAGTGCCGCTCACAACGACAATCAAAGGAGCGCTGGGTAGCTTTAAAGTTGGTCCAGTGGGGAGCACAGCCCACAGCTGGTGCATCTGCCCAGTCATCTCAGTCGGTCAACCCATGGCACCTGCTGGGTCTGTTCTGTGACCTCCTGCACCTAGCCTGGCACAGTGGGGTGCACAGATGGTGCATCTGCCCAGTCATCTCAGTGAGCCAACCCATGGCACCTGCTGAGTCTGTGCCATGATCTCCTGCACCTAGCCTGGCACAGTGGGGAGCACAGATGGTGCATCTCAACCCATAGCACCTGCTGGGTCTGTTCCATGACCTGTCAGCGGCAGGCCTTGGACACTTTCACTCAATGACTTCAAAGTGCACCTAGCCTGGCACAACCGCCGTTGTTGTTGTGTCTGTGTGTTAGTTTATGTATATGCGTGTGTGTCTATGTGTGTGGGGAGTGGTAGTGTCGTGGTTAGCGCGACGAACTTGGCAGACCCGAATTCGATTCCCACTCACGGCCAATACCAGTGACGATTATCTGCACCGGTCGTGGGCGTCCCCTAGGTCTACCTAGCCTCAAAAGCCTTTTTTCATGTATAATTTTAATAACCGGCAAACACATTCCTGCGGAGGGAGCTGATAGGAACCAGCCCCACCCTCCCCACCTAACCCCTCCACACCCTCCCCTCCCCACCCAGCCCCTCCCTCCCCACCCAGCCCCTCCCCACCCTCCCCTCTCTACCCAGCCCCACCCCTCCCATTTTTGGATTCACGACGGACAGACACAATAATCCCCTGTGGGCTGGTGTAACCAGGACGTTCCTACCAGTAAAAGGGGTTCCGTAGATGTAGCCCCTCCTACTACTCAATTATTCCCGCCCACTATTCGGGTAGCCCCCCCACTATTAATTTCGCTCCCACTACTCAGGAAGCCCCTCCCACTACTCGCGTAGCTCCTCCCACTACTCCGGTAGCCCAGCCCACGTCTCGGGTAGCCCCACCCAGGACTCAGATAGCCCCTTCTCTTGGGCTAGTGCTTGAGTCGAGCACAAGCCCACGCTTCGTTCAACACCGGGACATGGCCATTGTTAACCGACCCAGAAGGTTTGTTGACGTTACTCAAAGTACCCTCACGCATAGGTCTCGGCAAGATAAGGTAAAAGTTAAAAGGTAAAAACAACGAGCCTACCTTAACCCTCCCTTTTACCTTACCACAATACAATCACTCTACCCTTACCTTTTGCCCTTTAGCAGGTAAGGTAAAAGGTAAAAAGCAACGAGCCTACCTTTACCCTACCTTTAACCCTTACCCCATACAAATTACCCGATTACAGGGTAATTACTGGGGAACTACTACACATGAAAAAGGTTTATAATGGTAAATGCTAGGTAGAGCGCTTTATTTATATAGAATACTCTCGATTATTCCCATTTTACACACTTTCTTTTAACTCACTCTGTCTTTTGTTGTTGTCGTTGTTGTGTCCTCAAATCTTGTAACTCAATTTTAACCCACTTCCAAATGTGGTATCGACTGCAAACTTGGTATACTTATGTCAAACTGATGACAATATATTCTATCATAACAAATATATATTTTTAAACATTCTTTTTTATATGTTATGTTTCGGCTTGGGTCTAATTGTCCACGGTCAACTGACGTTGGCTGTAATTGGCCATGGTCCCTCACGCTATGGCAAGCTTCGGGGCCACTTCCTGGAGTCGTGGAGTTCTACCATTACTAGTACATTTAATAAAAGCGTGTTCAAAAAAAAAGAGTTACTTTAAATATTGCTTATTAAATGGAGGCCACGGACTGCGCCACGGAGCTTTTGGCGGTAAACAAGGTACTGTGTTTACCGGGTAATACTTCACGCTACCTTTACCCTACCGGGTAATTCTTCTGAGCTACCTTTACCCTACCCTTTACCTACCCCTTGGCATGTCGACACCTTTACCCTTTACCCTTTTACCCGGTAAAAAGGGTAAATTACCTTACCTTGCCGAGGCCTACTCACAAACCCTACCTCGTCGTCTATCCCCGCCCACTAGTGCATACAAGCCACGCCCCACACCCACACCATCCCCACCCACTATCACACAGAGCCACACTCACCCTACCACTATTCGCGCCCACTGTCCCACACAGCCGCACCCACCTGCCCACTACCCCCACTAACTATCGCACTGAGCCACACCGACCTGACGACTATTCCCACCCACTATCACACATAGCCACACTCACCTGCTGACTATCCCCCGATCCCCACTATCCCAAAGCCACACTCCATCTGCCCACTATCCCCAAACACTATCACGCATACACCACCCACCCACTATTCTCGCCCACTATAATACGGAGCTAAAATCCACCCGCCCACTATTCCCGCTCACTTTCGCACACAGCCACACCACCCACCCACTATCCCCCCCACCACTATCCCCCCCACCACTATCCCAAAGCCACACCCGACCTGCCCACTATCCCAGCCCACTGTCACACACAGCCACACCCACCCACTATCGCACACAGCTACACCCACCCACCCACTATATCCACCCACAAGCCCAAAGCCACACCCACTCGCCCGCTGATCCCCACCCATCTATTATACCTCCTGCTCCACACCGCCCTACAGACTTCAAGCCTCACACACATTCACGATTCTGAGCATCACACGCGTTCGGTATGGTAAAGACACGCCGTTTAATTCACCTCTGCGCAACAAAGGGAGAGTATTTACAGATTCAGAAAACCAATATTAACGGTTCCGACATGGAGAAACATCTCCGAACCGCATCTTTCATGGACACATACGCGCATAGATTTACAATTGAACATCGCCTCTTCACATCCTCCTACGGACTCTTCCGCACCAGCAGTTAAGAGACAGATATAATGCATATGAAATGTTCTGCAGTACCATCGTGTAAGTGTATCGTGAATGTTTTACATGTAGCAGAATAACCATGTTGGTGTATGTCATGTACGTTAGATGCGTTGGGAAGCAGTTATATTATGTACAATATATAACAGACTCACATACAGAATCGCAGATTATAAACAGAGAGACCCGTAGACTCGCATAGAGAATCGCAGACTCACACAGAGGCCCATAGACTTGCATAAATAATCGCAGACTCACACAGAGGCCCGTAGACTCGCATAGAGAATCCCAGACTCGCATACAGAATTGCAGACAACCACACAGAGGCCCATACAAACATTGCAGAGCCCCACAGACTCACACAGAGAATTATCGACTCACACAGATACCCATATACTCACAGAGAGAGACCCATAGATTCACATAGCGACCTATGACTTTTCTCCTGTCTCTCTCTCTCTATAAAGATCTAGCCTTTTGCCCATCCAAGGACGGGTGTATTGCAGTACATCTGAAACTTGCAAGCAAAAAGCAGACAGCGACATGATGTTCATTGCATTAATGCGTGTGCAATTTGTAAGGGCGCGGTGACACAGACCTATTTCATTTTAAGGTTATAATCCCTTATTCATCACGTCCGCTTTACTTTGATGTCTCAACAGAGTTCTGGAGATCGGTGACGTGAGGGTTCTGCCTTTGTAGTGAAGGTTGTATGTGGAGTGACGTCAGCCGCTTATTATTATTAATGTGGGGGGGGGGGGTGTCCATTTGGAGGACGTCACCTTACAATGATTATTAAAGAGGGGGGCTGTTTGATGTGGAGTGACGTCACTTGCACATGATTATTAGTGAGGGGGGGGGGAGTACTCCATATTGAGTGACGTCACCCGCTCATGATTATTAATGAGGGATCGGGGGGTGTCCATTTGGAGAACGTCACCTGCTCATGAATATTAATGAGGGGGGCTGGTCGATGTGGAGTGACGTCATGAGCGTTAAGCACAGACATTCCTGGGTGATTATAGTCGGTATATGACCGATAGTCTAGCCTCAAAAGGTATTTTTATATATTTTTTATATTTTTTTGGGACCCATTTTGCCAGTTAGTCTGGCTTTGGGGTCTTCAAAGGGTGGTGGTGCTGCTGGATGGTGGTTGTGGTTGGTGGTGGTGATGGTGGTTATGGTGGGTTGCGGTCATGGTAAGTGGTGGTGGGTGGTGGTGGTGGTGATTGTGGTGGTAATGGTGATGGTGGGTTTCGGTGGTGGGTGGTGGTGGTTATGTTGGGTTGCGGTGGTGGTCATGGAAGGTGGTGGTGAGTCGGTGGTGATTGTGGTGGTAATGGTGATGGTGGGCTGCGGTGGTGGGTGGGTGGCTGGTAGTGGCGGATGGCTGGTAGGTGAGTTCCGTTGGTGGCAGCCAATCAGCAGCGTCCTCTTCGAGGGAGCCAGCCAGACACCCAATCAGCCAGCCAGCCCAAATCACCAACCGCTATTCCTCCGCGCTCCGAGCGCGCGACGGCTCGCCCGCCACTCCATCTCGACGAAGGCGAGCCCGGGAACGTGCACAGCGCAGGCACCCAGTGCCCGGAAGCCCGCGCGTGCGTAGAAGCCCACCAGCTCGCGCTCGCACATGAGCAGCGCCCGCCTGGGGTACACGGCAGGGGTAGGAGGAACCACAGCCGCAGCCACTGCAGTTGTGGCGGCGGTGGTCGAGATGTCCCTGACCCGCGTAGGAAACGCCGGAGTGCCCCTGGGCCAAGTGGGCGTGGTCACGGGCGAGGTGGGCGTGGCCAGGGGGGAGAGTGCGTTGGGTCGTCGCGGCTCGCCAACGCCACTTCCGCCACCGTGCTCGAGGCGCGCCAGGAAACGCCACAGCAGGGCGGAGCCCTTGCCCTGTTGGCGGCAGGCGCGGTGCACTGCCAGCACGTGGATGTGGGCGCACAAGCCGCCTGGCACGTGTGTGTCCAGGGACTCCTTTTGTTGATGTTGGGTGGTGGATGGTGGGGAGGAGGAGAGAGGGGAGAGAGAGGAGGGACGAGAGGAGAGAGAAGGAGAAAGTGGGGGGCCAGAGACAAAGGTCAGAAAAGTACGAGTAGAGGGCGCGTGTGGGCGGGTGGGTGTGGCTCCCGTGTCTCCTAGTCACTCCCCGTGTCTCCCTCTCCATAGAATCCCCGTGTGTCTCTCACCAGGCCTCCTTGAGACCCTCTCCATGGCATTCCCGTGGCCCGGTGTCTCCCCGTGTGTCTCCCTGTGTCTCTTCATCACTCCCCGTGTCTTCCTCTCCATGGCATTCCCGTGTCCCCATGTCTCCCTCCCTCTCATCCCTGTGTCCTCTCACCAACTCACGCTCCCACACACCCACTTGGTCATACGTAAACGATCATCACGTGAACTCCGGTCATCCTTGCAGCGTTGGCTAGCCATAGAACAAAGACGGTTACTGCATTCCCATACTTTCAGATTGCGCTGCTTCTGCGGCCGTCTGGAACACTCTCTTCCCTCGGATATTAGGATGCCACTCGGGGCTACACGCTTTTAAATCAGCACCTAGATTGGCAAACTAATTTCTATAGAACTGCTGATTATTTTTGTGTTTAATTTGATGTCCTTCCCCCGCAACCTGCAATTAGTGCGGTTTTCTACATACGGTGCCGAAAATGTTCAACATATGCACATACAAATTACTATCCACTGCACACTACACAACTATCCACTACACTATACACTACACTGCTATACATTACACAATATACAACTGTATACTACACTTTACACTCTACACTACTACACTACACTACTATACACTACTCATGGCTTGGCTTCGCGAATAAAGATCTAGGAAGGACATCCACGTATTCTGCAGGCACGCTGGTGGCTGACGAGGCCTATGTGGGACAGGCAGGTCCTGCCACAACGGCTGCAAGTCTAGGTCTGATCTGGGATGGGTGCTGAGGGGTCACGGTTCTTCCTCCTTCTCCTTTTTTCCTCCATACAGGCCCTGTGGGTATCTTCGAAGAAGGAGGTGGCCTGGTGGACTGTGTGCCGCAAGGAGTTGCGATCAGCTGCGTGTGTTGCCCACTGACAGTGATCGATGCAGCAAGCAGTGAGGGACTTCTTCAAACTACTATCCCTCCTCTCGCTCTCCTACACTACACGACTATACACTATAATACATTATACACTACTTTACACATTACACATGTACACTACACCATACACTAAACTACTATACACTACAATGCTCTCCGGTTGGCTACGTACGATGCCAAAGAAATTCAACACACACGCACAAACCCAGCCATCCACTGACCCCTGCGTGTCTGCCCGTGCGTCCCACTGGCCCGTTCGGTGCGTCTCTCTCCGTCTCACCTGAGACAGTCGCCGCTTGTCCCAGCGCGACGCGATGATGAAGGCGGAGAGACGTCCCTGCTCGAACCAGCCGAGTGAGAGCTCGGGACACGCTCGCAGGAAGGAGCGCAGCTGCGGTTCGCGCAGGGGGCACTCGCCAGACACCGATACGAAGGCTGCGATCCGCGGGGGGACAGGGGAGGTGGAGGGTAGAAAGGCGCGGTCAGCATGGTCACTCGGGCTCCTGCATCACCCACCCACCCACTCATCCACTTACTCACCTACTTACCCACTCACTCACCCACTCAGTCACTCGGTCACTCACCCACTCACTAAGTAACTGCCTCAATCACTCATTCACTCACCCACTCACCCACCCAGTCATCCACTTATTCACCCACTAATTCACCCACTTACTTAGTAAACTAAACTTTGTATTTTACCAAAGAAAGCCCACTGAGCTCTGTAGCTCTTTTTCAGAAGCCACAAATTATATATCAACAAAGTAGAGTATTATCACGTGGAAATTCATAGCAGCCAAATACTCTAAGCACATGTTAATTAAAAAAAGTGGAGGGGAAAACCCAGGAGGATTCGGAGAAAATTCCACGCGACCACGGGAGAAAGACATGCAAATACCAAATATACGGGCATCAGGGTCGGGATGGAACCCATGACCTCCTGAATACCAGGCGAGGTAGTTAACATCTTCTAACCACCGTGGCGCCCAATCCACCCATATACTCACTCAATCACCCACTCACTCATTCACCAACTCACCCACTCGTCGCCCTCCTACTGGCAGACCAATGCTCAGAGACAACCGTCACTGACGAAGACAAAGATTCCCCCTCAAAGCATTAAGATACTCTTGGGGCAAGTGCTGTTAGCGAGCACCTATGAAGGCCGGTACAGCACACAAGGGGGTGAGAGTGGCCAGCACCACGCCCGGCCGCCTTTGTTTCCCTATTCACGATGCTTACACACTGCACCAGGTACTTATTTGAGCCCGAGTCGACCTAGGAGATGCCCAGAACCGGTTCAGATAATCGTCACTGATGTTGGCCGTGAGCGGGAGTCGAACTCGTGTGGCCAGGTTCATAGCACAGTGCGCAAACCACTACACTACCACTCCCCACACACACCTACACACACGTACACGTGTATTCACACGCACAAAAACTCGCAAACAGACTCGCGCACAGACTCGCGCACAGAGACACACACGGCCACGCGCTCACCTTCTCTCTCGATTTCGAAGACGCTGGTGGCGTCTGCCTCGCACAACTCCCGGAACTCACTGGCGGGCAGCGTGTGCCTACGGGGCCTCAGAGCGCCACACCTTACGATGTCCTCCTCCTCATCCTCCTCCTCTTCACCCGCCTCTTCATCCTCCTCATCGTGATCATCATCATCATCATCGTCGTCGTCGGACCGTCGACCTTCTGTCGAGCCGTCGTCCTCCTCGCGGCCGCCGTCTTGATATTCGCGGCGCCTGAAGATCTCCTTGATCTTCTGGAGGTCTAAGGTCTCCACCTCCTCTTCCTCCTCCTCCTCCGCCACCACCTCTTCTTGATGTTCGTGGGACATCAACTTCTCCGCCTGATGTTCTAACGTCTGGTGATCTTGAACCTCCTTCTCCTGTTGTCTCAACGTCTCCCCCTCTTCTTCCACCTCCTCCTCACGTCTCACATCTTCTCCCTCCTCCTGATGTCCAAAGGACCCTTCATCCTCTCCCTTCTCTTCGCGAAGGAGCGAGGAGGCGAGGGGCTGTGAGGAGGTGGTGGAGTTCGAGCAATGCTGGTGCTGCGAGGAAGTTTTGCTCGTCAGTGAGTGCATGGGGACAGAGAGAGAGGGCATGGCTGTCCCTTGGCGTGTCTCTGCGTGTCTCCGCGTGTCTCCTCCTGTCTCCGCGTGTCTCTCCCCTGTGTCTTCCCGTGTCTCGGCTTGTGTCTCTTGCCTCCGCGTGTGTTTCCACTTTTCTCTCTCTCTGCCTCTCTGTGTGTCTCTGCACCCTGTCTCCACACCTTAAATAACCACCATCCCCCCCTTCATCCTCCTCACCCCCACCTCTAATCCCCCCACCCCATCCTGATGCTAATCACCTCCGCACGAGCGCACGAGATTAGGGCTCGAGGGAGGAGGGGGGACGCACGTGTTTGACCCCTCCTCCTATCCCCCACCCATCCCTCCTTCCAACTCCCACCCACCCAACGAGGCTTATCCACTCCACTCACCCAGAGCACTGAGCTAAGGCTCGTAGAGACTCGTCAGAGAGAAAGACACGTAGAGGCTCATAGACGTGCGTAGAGACTTACACGTGTGTCAGTGTCAACGATTCAGAGTTTCTAGGAGGCACCTTCTTTATTAACAACTTTCACGGTCTCGTCCACACACTCTCCACCGTTACTTAGTCTAGCCTATACATAGCGCGAGCCGTCTAACTGGCTGAGATAGACAACTACTGTCCTTCGTAGCGCAATATCTAGCAGAGACGATCAGCGACGAGACAACAGCAACGACGAGACGAGTCCACTTCCAGAACCGGCAGCCGCGAGCCGCCGCTCTCAGCTCCTTTCATTCTCCCAGTGCGGCCTGGCTGCCCCGACCTGACCGTACCTCCCTTCTCGAACCCGCTAGCAGGTTCCAGGGGCCTCCAGATGGGGTCCTTTACTCTGCCATCACACCAACATGCTCATGCTCACCGGCGTGTGTACTGTCTGTCCACCACAGCTGCCGCTGCTGTCCAGCGCTATTACACTACACGTGCATATATACTTATATACACTCACAGACATATGTTTGAGACTCATGGACATCCTTAGAGACTCATATATATGCATAGAGATACGTTGACATACATAGAGGATCATAGAGAGACACGTAAAGACTCATATACATCTCTAGTGAGCTCAAATGAGTCGCAGATGTAGACTTGGAGGCAACACATTTATTTAACTCCAACACATGGGGTAACTTCCCCTTAACGGAATAACAACCTTTGGTGGTGACCACCAAGCTAACGACACTAGCTACAACGTAACTGCTACTATGAACCGGGACCAACAGCTCGGGTCCAGGTCCACGTGTTGGTAGACTCGTTGCGCTGAAGAATGGAGACGAAGGTTTCTTCCAGGATGAACAAGAATAACCCTGGTCCCTCTCGGGACCCGGCTTATATTCTCTGCAGCATGGCTGGCTCCATGCTTGGCCACGGCCACCTTCCAGAATCCTCGGGAAGAATCTGTCGGTAAAGGGTAACTGTAGTGTTAGGCGTCACGAGGCCACGATAGACATGAGAGGGGGGCATCTAGGGTTAAGGTCACAGAGGGGGGGCCCATCGGGAAGTAGGTTCCAGAGAGGGGGCATGGCCGGAGCGGACCCAGGCCACGCTGAGAGTATGAGAGGGGCCTCTGTTAGGGACTTCGTGGCTGTTGCTGGAAGTGGGATCCCCATCGTGCTTTCAAGATGGTCATCATTACCATCTCGTCGCCATCGTCACTGCCATCTTCACTCAATATTGCGCTGCTAGATAGTTGTTGGCTGTCTAGGGTTCGGTGCCGTCAGTGTTAGACAGGCTCGTGTTGTGTATAGGCTAGCAACAGTAATAGTGTGTACCCACGTAGGGTGTGTATTATCCCGATGGTGCTCGTTAAATAAAATAATTGCCTCCAAGTCTTACTGTGTCCTAGTTGAGTCACTACATTTGGTTTCAGAAGTGCTGAGAAAAAAAATTCGCCATTTCAAAAGCAGCGAAAAGGAAATGCGTCATCCCCTCAACAGCCCCAGGATCCGGGCCCCAGGTCATCTGTCCCGAAGCTGCGGCACCTGCAGAGCAGCGGGAGCAGGATGCCGGCCCCTCGCAGCCACCAGCCGACGAAGGGTGGCGCGACCTCACCGGGCACCTCGCACACCTGCTCTCCTCTGCTGCACAGCTGGTCGTCCAACTTGAGTCGGCTGCACCCCTCCAAAGGAGCCGCAATGCAGAGGGCTGCAGATGGACGGCTCACCTTCCACCGCCGCGCCAGCGTGGAAACCGGCAGGTTTCTTGCCCCGCCTAAGCGGCCGCCATTTCGCCCGCAGCAAGTGGCTGCCATTTTGTCAACGGCGTAGAGCCTCATGGACATGCATAGAGACTCATTGACATACGTAGAGACTCATTGACATACACAGAGTCTCACTGAGAGCCACGTAGAGACTCATATGCATATGTAGTCGGCCCAACTAAGTCTAAGATGTACTTCTTAGAGGCAACACATTTATTACAGCAACACGAATACACAAATGGGTAGCTCCCCGTTTACCAGATAACAGCCTAATGTGGTGGACCACCCGGCTAACTACACTAACACACTGGGAGCTAGCTACAATGGACTGGACGTGTTGGAGACTCTTCTAGACGTAGAACGTCGATCTTCAGATGACGGTAGCAACAACAAACCCTGGTCCCTGCGAGGACCCGGCTTATATGCTCCCGAGTCGGGGCCGGCTCCGCCCTTGGCCCTTCGAGAGAGCTCTGGCTCTCTCTTGACTCTTCTTGAGACAACTTTGCCCGGACACGTGACTACCCCTTAGCCCCCCACCTGGGGGCCCCCCTGTAGACTTTACCGGTCAAGTGCCTTCGGGGTCAACCAGAGTGCCATGGCCCAGGGTAACCCTGTCCCTGGGCTGACATTCTCCCACTCCCTGCGGTAGGAGACAGCACTGCATGCCATGCGTGGTGCCATTGCGCGATCCCAGCGCTCACCAAGCCCTCACTAGGGCTGGTACTACACTCACCAATGGGGTATCTGCGATGACGGTGCATCGCACGCTGGCACCATCCAGTGACATCCGTGATGTCACTACACATACATAGAGGCTGATAGATATGCATAGAGACTCATGTACATGCATAGAGACTCATAGGCATAGAGACTCATGGACATGCATGGAGACTCATAGACATAGATACTTATGGACATGCATAGAGACTCAGACATACATACTCATAGAGAGACACTTAGAGACTCGGAGGCATACATATAGCTTCATAGACATAGATAAAGGCTCATAGACATACGTATAGACTCATAGACATGCATAGAGGCTCATAGAGAGGCAAGTCGAAACTCATAGAGAGACACGTATAGTCTCATAGACATACATAGTTTCTCATAGACATACGTAGATACGCATGTGCATGCATAAAGACTCAGAAATACATAGAGGTTCTTAGAGAGACACGTAGAGACTCATAGACATACATATAGACTCATAGACATGCATGAATACGTATTCCTTCGTATACCATTTTGGGGGATTGCAGCAGGGCTACAAATTGATGTCGAGATTTGATATCCCCCATTCGACTGATTCAGGAGTAAGCCACCTGGATATGTTTCAGATCGCCTTCGAATGATCTGATTGGGGCAGTCTGTTCACGATTCTGTTTTACACCAGTCTGAGGATTTCGCACCACCATGACAGTCACAAACTCGACCTCTCGTTCATAAGAGGTACGTACAAATGTGTCGTTAACCCGCCACCACCCGACACGCAGCCAACCGGCAGGGTTTGTCACGTAAACAAGACGACTACTGCAGCCCCACCTGTGTGTTGGAAAGTTAAGTCCACAGCATTTACAATTTGAGTACCCTGACGTTCCGCTGGTAATTACATCAACCAGCCAGCACCATCTGGCAAATCGACACGTTTTGTTTACGTGACAAACCTTGCCAGTTGGCTGTGTCGGGTGGTGGCTGCCAGGGTTTAAAGACGCATTTATATTTGACGCGATCTAACCCCCACCCCTACCCAAAAAAAACACCTCTTTATTACGAATAATATTGGTCGCGAAAGCCGTGCTGCTGCTGCTTCCCCACTACTACGTGCCAAACTGGACCTCTCATTAATAGTTCCTTTCGTGGAGACAGTGTCCAGACGTCTATCCATGGGGTGTCTTGATCCGATTTGAGAAGGAGGAGGAGGGAGGAGGAGTAGCCGGGGACCTATCCTCGGTAGGTCACATCCTGGCTTTGGAGGATTGTGGTGGTTGGCGTCTCTGACGATGGATTTCTGCATCAAGGTTGCTTGTTTTTGCCCCAGGGCTTCCCGCTCGTCATCATGCTTCGGTGGTCATTGTCGTCATCACGGAGGTTCTTTGCATATTTGCCTGAGAGGGGGGGGGGGGATTTGTCAGGGATTTGAGCCACTCTGTGCGGTGGTGGCATGGCGATGTCCTCGTTTATTTGGGACCTTTTGGATTTCTGACGGCCTTTGCGGTTGCCCTCATGGCTGCATTCAGCCGCGTATCCACCAGCTGGTTTTGTGCAGACGCTTCTGCTCGAGACTTGAGGCGCAATGTTCTGCCACAGAGAAGACCTAGTAATGTGATGGCCGTCCATATACGTAGGGACATACCTAAAGACTCGTAAACATACATAGATAATCATCGACATGCATAGCGGCTTGGAGACATACGTCGAGACTCATAGACATCGACTTGTTTTGAATATACTGTATGTCGACAATCAAACTTAAATCATCTTCGTGGCTATAAGGGACTATTACAGATGGTCAAGAATACAGGCAGAGCTCACTTAGCATTGACCCTGTAGAAAGCTGATTCGTTAAAGTGCTCTTTTTGTCTGGAGAACATGTATCATCATTATCATTATTCTTGGTTCTTTCGGTAAAGTCACGTAGAAGGGAAATGATAAAATAATAAAAAATACGTGACTTTACCGAAAGAACCAATAATATAAATCCCTTCAGTCACGAAAGCTTTAAATCAAAATCATCATCATTACCATGACAATCCATGGTTGCAGATATCCCATAATATCCCAATACTACCCATAGACTCAACACTACCCATAGACTCAATACTACCCATAGACTCAATACTACCCATAGACTCACCACTACTCATAGACTCACCATTACCCATAGACTCAACACTACCCATAGACTCACCACGACCCATAGACTCACAACT